AGTAGAATGTAGGGTTTCTATACTATGAGTCAGAATTAGGATTTAGGAAAGTATCCCCATCACAGTACCTAGGACCCTTGGCTCAGGGGCTTCGGAGTTTACGCCCTGAACCCTGTGAACCCTAAGCTCTAAAACCTGAATCCTAAAGCTTGTAAACACCAAACCCTAAACCCTAAACCCTAAACCCTAAACCCTAAACCCTGAGCCTTCCTAAACCCCATATGGGTGGTTCTCTAAAGTAGGGTCCCTTTCTGAATCCCCAAATTAATATGGCACCCTTATAAAAAGGACCCCAAAAGGGACCCTAAGATCGAGCACTACCCTTCTTCAAAATGCCTGAGCACACTGAAGCCTGAAACCCCAAAACCCCTCAACCCTAAGTAGGTTTAAGATTTTAGGACCTGTCGGGGGCACGTCTCCTGGGTTCGAGTTTTTAGTTTGGGGCCTTGGGTTTTAATCACAGTAGTACCAAGAAGAAACGAAGCAACCAACACCAGACTGATTTGGTCACTTCGCCTATGTATAAGCCCTAGGCCCTAAACCTTACACTCAGAGACCCAAAGGAATCTCAAGGCGTAAAGGCAGAAACCCTAACCCCGAAAGACATCATGGAATCTCTACAACTGAGCCCATTAAGAGCCCCGCAAGAACCCCAAAAAAAGGGCCGTAATTACCCGTCTTCCACGTACTAAGCCCAAATAGAGGCACCCGAAGGCAACGCCGAAAGATCCACCAGCAACCAAGATAGAAGCTGCCACCTGGGCGTTGCATTTTCTGCTAGGATTTGGGGTTTAGGGCTTAGGGTTTAGGGCTTTTGCTCCAGGGCTTACAGGGTCTAAGATAAGGGGCTGTGGGGTTGTGTTTGTTGTTTTCGGTTGAGGATTTAGGGCTTAAGTAGAGGTTTTGCATCCAGGAGGTAAGATAGACGCCGAAGCCTGACAAATTACTACCCTTTGTATGGCTATTATTGCTACACGTTGTACTATTACTTTTCTTATTATTACGTTTACTTTTATTGTTACTATAACCCTAAACCCTAAACCCAAAGCCCTAAACCCTAAGCCCTAAACCCTAAAACCCTAAGCCCTAAGCCCAAAGCCCAAAGCCCTAAGCCCTAAACCCTAAACCCTAAGCACTAAACTCTAAACCCTAAACCCTAAACCCTAAACCCTGAAACCCGAAAAGCCAAGGCCGAGAGCTTTTGCCTCGATTGTTGCGGGGGCGACTACAGGGGCCTTAACTCTGATAGGGCCTGAGGGGTTCAAAAAAAGTTATAAGAGTTTAGGGTTTAGGGTTTAGGGTTTAGGGTTTAGGGTTTAGGGTTTTGGGTTTAGGGGGGGTTCTATAAAGTTATAAGGCCCAAACACTTAGAAAAGGCCTTGGGTTCTGCTACGGTATAGGGTCTAGGGTTTAGGGTTTAGGCAGACAGAAACCCTAAACCGTAAACCCGATGTCTTCTTGTGACCCGTGTTGGGCATTGAGCCTGGTAGGGCGAAGTGCTCCGAGGTGGGCTTCCGGGGAAAAGGCTTGAGGGACAAATCAACGGTTTGAGGTTTTAGGGTTTACGGCTTTAGGGTTTTAGGGTTTGGGGTGTCGGGTTTAAGCTTCAGAAGGCAATAGAGGGGCTATTGGTAACCCCTGGGCCTTAGCCATTCCAATTTGGTTTTGCAGCATGTTGCCATACTTCATAAGGCCCTGGCCCGAAGGAATATGATAAAACAGTACTGGCAATTGTTCCTATATAAACCCTAAACCCTAAACCCTAGACCCTAAACCCTAAACCCCAAACCCTAAACCCTAAACCCGAAACCCTCAACCCTAAGCCCTGAACCTTTAGGCTTCTACATTACGGATGCCCAGGACTGGTTGTACTGGGTGGGGCTCAGGGCCTCCTTCGCAAACCTCAGAATCCCAAATCCTACAGTTCAGGGTTTCGGGCTTGTTCAGGGTCTAAGGCTTAGGGTTTAGGGTTTAGGGTTTAGGGTTTAGGGTTTAGGTTTTGGGTTTTGGGTTTTGGGTTTGGGTTTCGGGCTTGTTCAGGGTTTAAGGCTTAGGGCTTAGGGTTTAGGGCCCGAACCCTAAGCCAGGGCAGGTGAGTCTTGGGGGTCAAGGGCATGAGAATGAGAGCGAGCTCAAGCTAAGGAGTTTCGGTTTAGGGCTTTAAAAGCTTTGAGGGCTCAGGTTTTCAGGCTGTTTGTGCAGGCTTTAAGTTATGCGGGGCCTGCAGGGTTGAGACTGCAGGGTTGAGGGTTCGGTTGGGCTGAGGGTTTGAGATTTGAAGAACCGGGGTTGCACGTAGGGTGTAGGGTTTTGGGGTTGGGGCCCTCAACCTACCACTGCAGGTAAAGATGCTTAAGAGCCCTTCGACATCTGACCACATCTACAAACCCAGCAACTTTTCGAGCCTTAAAATCTTAGGACCCCAAACTGCTCGACTGGAACATGTTCCCAAAATCTTGAAAGCGGACCGCTAGACCCCAAGCTGCTTGACTGGAACATGCCCTCAAAACCTTGAAACCCGCAAAATCTTAGGACCCGTGGGAGCCCAAACTGCTCGACTGGAACAGGTCCCCAAAACCTCAAGCTTAAACTCCCTTAACTTTAACACCCGAACACGCAATCTGGTTCAGGCATGTAGATGTAATGTATTAGAATAGGGTTTTGGGGGCTCCTTATTATATTTGTAGTATACTATACCCCAAACCCTCTTCTACTTATTAAGGCCCCTAAACCCTAAACCCTTATAGTAGCCCTTATAGTACCCTTTAAGGAACCCTTTAAAGGACCCCTACGAAACCCCATTCTACTTATTAAGGCCCCTACATTAAACCACAAGGCGTGGATTGTGGGCCCCTAAACCCTAAACCCTAAACCCTAAACCCTAAACCCTAAACCCTAAACCCTAAACCCTAAACCCTAAACCCTAAACCAAAACAGGGTAAGGCCTGGGTCTTCGGGCTTCGGATTTCTGCTTCGGGGGAGGCTTGCGACTATTGGAGCAGCTTCTTCCTGCGAAGTCGGCCTTGGCTTTAAGGTTTAGGGCTTAGGGCGTAGGGTTTAGGCTTTAGGGCTTCGGGTTTAAGGGTTTTTTGGTCAAGCTTTTCCAAGCCCCCGGCATTTCCCAAGAGGACTGGGAAGAGATTCTTCCAGACCATTTCGAGCAGTGTCAAGTGGGTGCCACCCATAGCGGCTGCGGGAAGAAGGAACATATTCGTCACCTCGCTGCTTTCAGGGTTTAGGGGTTTAGGGTTTAGGGGTTTAGGGGTTTAGGGTTTGGGGTTTAGGGTTTAGGGTTTAGGTTTAGGGTTCGGGGTTTTAGGGTAAGAGTTTACGGTTTAGGGTGCTCTTGGGTTTAGAAGTAGCGTCCTACATGGCCTTGTGAGACAAGCTCTACTTGAGGGTCTCGGGTTTAGGGTTGAGGGCTTAGGGTTTCTGAATTTTGGATTGGGGGTTCAGGGCGTTTGCGGTTGGGGTTGGGGATTCAAGGTTTGGGTGCCGGGTTTTACTGTTCGGGTTGAAATGGGCTTTGGGGTTTGGGCATACAGTAGGGTTTACTGTGAAGGGGTTCAGGGTTTTGGCGGTTTCAAGTTTGTTGGGTTTAAGGTTTAGACTTCAAGGTTAAGGCTCAACGTTCTGCAAGGCTTCCGCGTCCAACATTAATTATGCAGAAAGAAGGAAGGCCAGAAAGAATGAGCGAGGGACAGAGAGAGAGGAAGAGAGAGGGAGAGTGACAGGCAGAGAGAAAGGGGACACACACACAGACACACAGACACGCCGACAAACAGACAAACAACCCCAATAAAAATAACATGGAAAACCTCAACCGCCAAAAGACTTGGCCGTGAACAACAGACACATGGGCACACTATGACTGAGGAGGAGACGATGTGCTCAAAGCCCACCGCGGCGTACATGAAAACTGCGGTCCATATTCCGGTCATCTTGCCCTTGATGTCCTTTGACATGACCTGGGTAGGAGTTGGGATTCGGGGCACCGTTGGTCCCTTTTAAGAGAGCCATAAGTAGGGTCAAGAAGGCTTACCTTAACCTACCCAAAACCCGACTTTTATCGGGGTCCCTGTCAAACCTATTGCAGGGTGTGAAATTAAAACCTCCATTTTGGCAGTTTAAGGTAGGGTCTAGGGGCTATAGGGTAATTGGGTATATGTCTGTGTAACGCAACAGGTTAGTGTTTAGGTTTCGAGTTTTCAACTTGCTCTGCTACGCCTCGCGGACCCACTGAACTTGTAAAACACACTCCAAAGGGCACTTTGCGGAAATCCAAGGCACCCCCAGCCAATATGCAATGAAGACAATCCAGTTGCAAATGAACGCCTTTACAACCGTCTGGCCGAACGTGTACCCGCACTTGCTCTTCGCCATAACAGCTGCCACGGCGAGAGACTCGGCGTCCAAGACCTGCAGGTAGCGAACGGCGCCAAGGATCAGAAGGACCCCGATGGTATTCCCGAATAGCACGAGGCCGATGTTTCGCAGCGCATCTCTGAAGTGCACCTCGCACAACAGCGCAGCCCTAAAGGGAGTGGGAGTAGGCAGAAGGAGCCAAGGACGACAAAGAACCCAAAAACAAAGAACCTAAACAAAGAAGCAAACACAAAGAACCAACACCAAAGAACTAACGCAAAGAACCAAGGCCATAAGATCCATAAACAAATGAACTAACAACAAACAGTAGAATTCGCAACCAGGATGGTATTGGCAGGGCTTCTCAGGCAGTGGATCTTAAAAGTCCCAGGACCCAAGTCCTCCTCCGAACACCGCTGCTTGGGTTTTGGGTTTAGGGGTTTAGGGGTCTAGGGGTTTCGGGGTTTAGGGGTTTAGGGGCTTAGAAG